ACTACTACTCCTCTTGCTGCTACTACTACTACTACTACGACGACTACTACTACTACTACTACTACTACTACTACTACTAACTACTAACTACTAACTACTAACTACTAACTACTAACTACTAACTACTAACCACTATTTACTAACTACTAACTACTAATTACTAACTACTAACTACTAGCTACTACTCCTACTACTACTACTACTACTACTACTACTGCTACTACTGCTACAAGTGCTACTACTACGACGACGACGACTGCTGCTACTTGTGCCGCTACCGCTACCACGACTGCAAGTGCTGTGTTCCTGTTCGCTTAGGTTATCTGTGCTCCTTTAGTGCGACGGCTGTGCTTCGTGAATTGAAGAGGATATGTATTACATAATTATCACAGTTTTCCTCCGTTGTGTTTCCTGCTCTCACTTTCACGTCCTGTTCTGCTCGTCCATCAACTGCCCCTCTACTCCCTGCTCTCCTCAACTCTGGCTAGCCCTTCGATTTGTGCTCCACTGCGGCTCGCACTTGTCTGCTACCTGAGATGCGCGATGTCATCGCCTGAGCTCGCCCATTCCTCCCGTTTTCCGATCAGTGATGGTAAGACTATCTCCTCTCATTGCCCCCTCGCCGCGTCTGCCTCAATCTTTCATCTCCTGAACTCTGACTGGCATTTCGAGGCGTTTGCGGTTGAAAATGCGGATTGGATCCACGTCGCCTGTTTCCCCCAAAAGAGTAGCGGACAGACTGCACCGCCCGACCTTGCCTTCGGTCAATCAAAACCATCTGAGCGAGAGTTAGCTGCTGCATTCCAGATTCTTTGAAGGGCTGACAAGTGGTCTCACTTGAGGATTTGCTCCGCGCGAGACCCTTCTCGAAAATCATGTGCGACAGGCAATGTCTAAGTTGTTGTGAAGGACGCCAATCGATCGCATGTTTTTGGAAGTCTTTCTTGCTGGTCGGAGTTGTCTCAACAAATGGTGCTTCACTTGAAACAGAAGCGCTTTATGGAGGTTGGTCTAAAAGTTCCTCTTTGGTTATCTCTCCGAAGAGGTTATTTTAATGCGTGCAAGTTGTTGCATCCTGCAGAGACAAGTTGGGAGATCCATAGACAACCGATACACTGAATGCCGAGGCTTCAGCGGCTTCAATCTGCTGTTGCTCTTCTGGCTAGCTTTCCAGACCTACCAGCTCCTGAGATGTCCGCATTAACGCATGCAGCCTGTTCGTGCCGCTGAACTTTCCGGCAGTTTCTGCAATGGTAGCAGTAGGGACCATAGCCGAGGCTTTACAGAGGACTCTGCCGGCGTTCGGAGCATGAGCACCCACTACTGCGTCAATTCCAGGCCGATTGACTCCAGTGTTGATTGCAGCAGCATGTAAACATAGCTTGCCTGGCTTTTTGTCGTTGCTAAATTCAGACTAAATTCCTCTTCAGCAAATACTATTCCGGTGCCATTGCAACTGGCTGGACAATCGGGTCGCGATGCTAGCCCGCACCTTGTTCCACGAGTGCATGGGGACCCATCGCGGTCATAGCGATCCTAAAATACTAAGCTTGTTGCGACATGGCTGGTTCGGTGACTCTGTTCTTTTCTCCTTGCTGTTCTGTTCTTTCTCTACTGAGTTGCGTATTTGCCTGACAGGAAAACCCTGACGCCAGCTGTGAGCGTGATGCGTAGTGCCGGCCTCCATGGCTGGAAAACTATTCTGAGCAGCGGCGTTTGACTTTGCGGAACAGGGATGCCATTCCAAAAACATCAAACAGCCTCTTGAGTTCTCTCGACTTGATGCCCCAGTACTGTAGGACAGTTGCAAGCTGCCAGAGCAGTTTCTCTTTGGACAGCAGCTTCGAACATCAGTCCAAGCAAACAGAACTCTGCTGTAGCTCCGATCCGTTCTCCTGAGACCCCGAAACACGGGCTTGGGTCGCGTGTACCATGCATAGGTCTGCTAGGCCAGCTACGCACGCAGGGGATTTGTATGAACCGAACGGCATCTAGACATTTTTTTCGCTTATTGCCCAGTCCTGCGACATCAGCCGACGCACAGAGAGATGTTGCGTCTCTTGTTGGTTTCATACCTATCTTAGCTCCGGATGATTCTCGAAGAGTCCCTGTGAACTGACTTACCCGAAACAAGTATGTGTTCTAACTTGTGAAACTCAAGCATGAGCCTGCGTGAACTTAGTACACACAACCTTTCAGTGCGTGCGAGTTTCTGGGCACAGATCGCACTTCCTGCACCCTGCATGACAACACGGCGCAACACCTTCGGTCCTTCAGCCGTTGACCGCATAAATCTCCGTTGAGCCATTGAGCTGAAAGCTCTAAGTTGCAGGTCGAACTCTTGAATTTCTTCTTCCGCTTGCTCTAGTCACAATCCTTGATGCTGTATGCTCAGAACTTTCAATGCAGGCTCCTACACCGTGCCCCAACTCGTAAGTTCAGCTTCTGTTGCGCCGGGTTAGATCAGCAAGAACTTCCTGGGCACCACAAAGCCCGAAGAAAGGCATGGGTGGCTTTGGTACTGGTTGGTTGCGGAAGTGCGTTGAACTGAGTCCTAGGAGCCCCATGCACGTGAGGGTTCGACTCGCGATAAGGTTTCGGAGCTGCCTGTCTTTCTTGTTTGACAGCAGGTTTTCGGCTCAAGGGTTGCTGGCATGGACGTGATTGCCTGTAAAGTCCTAGAAGAAGCTGCAGCGAGACTGGTATAGACTGCTCACGTCTTGCATGGTATTTCAACTGTCAAGCCGTGTTGGTGTTAGTGCGGATCTTTAAGTTTGATGCGGAGAGCCGAACCATTCCAAAGTTCAAGCTGTTGGAGTCCATAGTCCTCGGGCCTTTGCCACAGCAATGGGGCGCATCAAACTTGTGGAGTTGATGCCCCTGATTCTGGCGTCCTTCGGCTTTGCAAGGCTGGTAGCATGTAGCTGAGTTTGGGCAGAACGGGCTAAAAAAGTGTGTTGCGGTTCCGCCGCAGAGACGGGCAACCTCTTGATGCTGACGGGAATCCCGTGGGTCACCTGCCACTGATCTCGCCTCAACAAGGCAGCTTCGCTCTTCCTGCAGGTATGGTGCCCGGAAAAGCTGATAATTGCTGGAACTCGCAGAGACTTCAGTAGAGGCGGCAGTTCTGGAGTGTTGGGGCTCTTAGAGTCAACAACGATGTTTTCGGGAAGCACCGAACCAAGCCTTACCCAGGCCAGCCCCGGAAGCTTGAAACGAAGTGCGTGTCCAAACTCCAGCACCTTTGCTCCGAGGATTGGCCAAGCTCTGGAACTGCAGTTCCCCGTCTCCGGGAAGAGAGAGGGGACTGGCGGGTTTTAGGTTCACACATCCAAGAAAGAAAAGGCTGTTTGCATGTTGTGCACAGAGGGAAGTCAAGGTCTATCAGGCTCAGGACTCCGTTCTGCGCTGTGCTCAAGACAGGACTCAGTTTGGCTATTGGCCTCTGTGCAATTACACGATGTTGGTCAGCAGCGCCCTGCTGCCCCAGGAACGAGAACTTCGATGATGCCATCGCGGCGGCTGGAAAGAATGCGCTGGTGCTTTTTTGCTCAGACTTCTGTCCCTGGTGTAAAAACAAGCTGAACGCTACTCTGCTGCATGAGACGGGTTGGGCGCACAGCGCCAAGATGGGCCAGCAGGTATCGAGGTAGAGCTAAGAACATGGATCCGCTGCAACTTGGCCATTCATTGTAGCTGACATCCGTGTTGCGATGGCAAGTCGTAGTGCCAGCTGAGTCCGTCAGATCGCACCTCGAATTCTGCACTCGAGGCCCTCGAAGTTAATCTCATGAGTAAGCCGCTTTGAAATCATGGGCCTTACATCCAAGACGACGTGGACCGAGCTGATGGCTGACTGGCAGGGGTCCGATAAGGCAAGTGGGCTGATGGTTTCTGCTGGTCGCCGGTGATATGGAAATCACTTCTGCCTTTGCAACCTGCCGCCGTGCCGCACGACGTAACATGTTCTGCATGCTTGCCACAGCCTTAAATTCATGACAGGTCTTGGTGGCGCATATCGATTGTGGCCAACCAGCCTACGACTTGGGCGGGTTGCCGGGTGTGCAGAAGTCACAGCTGTTTTGGAAAGAATGATGCAAGATGAAACGTCGCAAAGTAGTCGCACAGCACTACAGTCAGCGCATGTGAATGCAGTGCCATCATCAGCTAGTAAGAGCATCACAGGGTACGATGTTGCAATCATCATAGAGACATCATGCTTTGTTGGCACACTCTTTTGATTTTAGGGTTTCGGACCAGGGTGTTCAGATTCGGTTGGATCCAGTTGCAACCAGATGCAGAATGCGCCTACTGGGGGGAGCTAAATGCCTGCGTGGGTGACTTGGCGGCTCGCCCAGAACCTTCAGGCTCAGTTCTCCGGGCTCGGTGCCCTCAGTGTGCAAGAAGCACGAGATCGATCCGGTCTGCGACAAGAAGACAGGGCACATCCCAACCATCAAGTATTTTGACAGGCCTGGCCGAGGATTGATGTTTTGGTATACAGTGTGATGTGTGCGTGTCTGTGAGCAGGTGTGTTTGTGCGGGACTTGATGGGTTCAAGAGGCATAGGCACAACGTGGGCAAACTCGTGCGACACAGGCCGCTCTGAAGCGACACATCCTTAGGCTTCGTATGAATGAGGACCGAACAGACTGGTCTCATCGAATTCTGTGTTAATCTGACAACCTCCAGCAACCTGCAGTACTCTGCTTGTCAACACAGTGTATGGAGACCTTCGCTGTGCATTATGCTAAAGTCCTGTGTTGCCGTATTGCCGGATGACTTCGAGTGTGTGTGGCGAGGGGCTAAGCCAAGAACCGCTTGGCTTGTACTCACTTCGAGTCTTTGGACGGGATGAGTGGGATTGGACGAGTCGGACTTTATTCGAGGCCAGGCCCTGTGATTTTCATCTTCTGAGAATATGGCGCAACAGTGGGTGCTTGTGCACGTGTACGTGTATGTGTATGCAAGATTTCGCGAAAGATTACAATCATGTATACATGCTGCATACATTCATGATGCATGGTATAACATCGCAAATCTCCGTAGCAGCTTAAGACATGGTAATGGCAACGAAACTGATTGAGCGGGCAGAGGCAGCAGTCGAAATGGTTCAGGTCCCTCAGCTGCCTTACTGAACTTTACACATTCGTTCGGTGGTTTTGGGCTTGGTTTGCTTCTTGCAGGTTTGGCTTTAAGAGTTTTGCAGCAGAGGTTGCGATGTTTTCGGCTAACAGTGAGAGATCTCCGTGTTCAGGGAAAGCCGGGTGGCTGTGTGTTAGAGGAAGACGGACAAGGATTTGCAGTTTGCAGTCGCAGGAACGATTCGTCGTCGAGGCCTGCAGAACATTTGACAAGAGCTAATCCTTGCATCCTCGAAGCTGACATGTTCAAGGTACAAGCGGGACTGGGAAGCCGACATCCTGGAGGCCTTCATCCATGAACGCCTCGTGCCAAAGTGCATCGTCCGGACACAGGAGCACTGTGAAGACAAGGACCGACAATCGGGGCAAGGGTGCCTCTCGTTTTCGCAGCCCACACACGACTCCGCGCAGTTTACTCCGGCTGTTTTGTAGTTGCTAAGTTGGAAGCCGATCGTTGCCAGCAGTCGTTGGCATTCGCTGGAAGGACCTGGCTTACCTGGACAAGCACACCGGGAAGAGCCGCGAAAGTCTTCAGGCGGAGCAGAAAAGGCAAGCCACTAACAGCAGATTACATATGTACACGCGCCACGACCTTGTCCACCCTATGACGACGACTGCTGCTGCGACGTCTGCTGCCGTGCTGCTACAGCTGCCGCTACTGCAACAGGTGACGACAAGGGCGACGACGACACTACTATTCCTACTATTCCTACTACTGCCACTACTACTACTACTACTACTACTACTACTACTACTACTACTACTACTACTACTACTGACTACTACTACTACTACTACTACTACTACTACTACACCTACTCCTATCCGTCTCCTACGGCTACGG